GTATCTCCATCATTGCTCTAATCCCCTTGATTCCAATGACCAATTGAACACTCTGGGAAATTAACATTTGTTTCAGCAATCACTGTTCACACTCAGATGCAAGGACCAGTTATTCTGAATACTAAATCCCGTTTGTGGAAAAGCATTGATACTTGAATAATCATGAAATAATTGCTATTTTGCAAACCAGCGTTTTCGATTTTTTGAATTTTCTTTTTGCCTTCAGGGCTTCCATTCTATTCATTTCTCTTGGGTTGAAAATCAATCAGCTGACTCTGGGGACTTTTACTTTGTTGTGCCATCAATCACGGACAACAACAACAATACATTTGTTTCTGTTAAAGTAACAGTTGCCAGTTACATGTGCAGTTGTAGAGCAGACAAAGGGATCCGTTATGAAAACAGACAATAGCAAAACCAATTTTTTAACCCCCCTGTTTGTTTATTTGCAAGCAGGATTACACAAAACTAACTAAACCCATTTCAGTTAAATTTTGATGAGGGGTGGGGAGCCTATAAAATTTTGTTGCAAATCTGGATCAGGGGTTGTTCAAGAATTCCAAAGTATTGAACTTTCTTTAATATTGCGATATAGAAGGTTTTATAACATTTTCATTGATTTCTCAGAGAATAATTCATAGATATGGAAGGAAAAAGGATTATTTATAAGTCCTTTCAATTTGGTGCAGATTCAAATAAAATATCTATATCTAAAATATCTGGATCTTGTGAATTCAAATGTGGTTTCAAAAGGGGATTGTTGGACCATGGGGGAGGAACAGACTCTACTGAGTGCCATTCCCATTCACTAAATATTCACACTGTTATAAAGCCCTTACAAGAGGTCAACTAAACATAACTCTACAAGGCTAACAAAACAAGACCTCAGCTCTATTACTAGAGCTAACTTACTGAGCCATGAGGGCAAGATATACACAAACCAATAAACAAACACAGGGGAAAACAACAGTTGCAGGAACTAAATCTCAAGGCAAAGACACCCTAATCCCCCCCATGATGTCCGAACTCTTGGTTTGGTCCTTTGCTTGGGCCTTTGCATTAAACCAGGCTCCGCCCTCAGCTCAGGTCTTTTGCCGGACCAGGAAGTAGAACTCCAGGCAGGTAAGTCAAAACAAAAAGAAATGAATTAATGCAATTAAAACCAACTCTCAAAAAGAACATTAACTGCCTGTGTGCTGAATGTAGAAAACAATTTATTGAAAAGGAGTTAGTGAACGTATTCTAAACCTGAACTGTTGTGTCCAAATGAAAGTAGCTGAACTCGAGATGTGGTTGAATGTGTGAAACTAAACCTTCCATTATTTGACTCTGTCCATCACATCAAATGAGAATTTTATTTCAAAGCTCACACTCAGTTATTTAATCACAAAATACACACTCGTACAAACACAAGTATATATTGGTAACATTATACACACACACACGCACACACACGATATCAAACATAGCATTGCAGGTGCAAACACTTGCTCTTGAGTGGAACTTGAATCACGCTTCTCTTGTCACAGTGTAACATCCACTCAGTACAGTGAGCCTCGGCAGAGGGTGTTGTCTCCTCTGACCAATCAGAGAGGCTGACTCTGTCTTTTTCCTCTCTGATGTCAGGCGGATGAAAGCAGGGAAAGAGAGAGAGAGAGAGAGACTTGGAGGAAGAGGAGGACTGTGGAAGGGTTGAATTTGAGCGAGAGCTTAAGGAGAAGCCATATCAGAAGGAGTTGCGCGAGGTCAGCTGTGTGGGAGAAGAGGGGAGAGAAGCGAGGAGAGAGATGTGGTATTAGAAATGAGGAAAGACATGTAGACGGATCATTGACAAGAGGAAAAAAGAAAAAAGTGAACCGGAAGAGGAGAGGATGTGAAAGAAGAGCATATATCTTCCAGTCAGCAGTAAAGTGAACAGGGGATGAAAGAGATAAAGTGACAGAATCGCTTTAAGAGTTCCATTTCCACGCTGACACAGAGTGTGGGAGGTGTGAAGGTTGTGGATTTGACACAAGTTTGGCGAATGAACATGCGCACAGTTAGATGATGTCACCTGTCTCTCTCCTCTCACTCCACCATCCTGTGATTGCCACAAGGTCCAGTCCAGCAAACACCTCTGTCCTCTTGCCTCTCTCTCTACATCAGGAACACTGACAGCATCATCTGAAGAAATTGTATAGCCAGTATTTCTTCAAACTTATTGTTATCACTTGGGAAACAGTATAGAATGTAGTTACTGTTTGTAGTTATAACATAAATCAGACTTAAAAGCATCAAAGACAATCCTGGAAAACTGGTCCTGAACCTTACGTCAAATTGTTTTTGATTTATTTATAAAATATTCTTCGACATTTATAAAAATAGTTAAACGTACAATACGTAACTTTGGTCGCTAGGCGTCTCTCAATCGAAACAGCAACAAACAGAGTTTGATAATGTCAAGAAGCAGTGTGGGATCATGGGAGTTGGTGTCAATGAATCTACCTGAGGTGACTCGGGTGCAAATAATGTACAATTAACATCTTTAAAAAAGTTTTATTCGCGTTACGCATCAAATGGCAAAAAATCAGTCATCTATTACAAGTGACCAATACAAACAGAAAGAGGAAAACACTGCTAACTGGCTAACTAGCTAGCAGTGTGAGTTTCCATTGTTATTTGCCTAGAGATTCACAAAAGCATGGGTAAAGAGGGAATGACATAATTAAAAGATGATCAATATTAAATGTCCTGTTACCTTGAATAAATATAACAAAGGTCTTAGATATTTTAATGAAGACATTTTACATATGATATCTGTATGAAAAACTGTCCCTTTAACAAAACATTATTATATAGAAATCCATTTAAATACAAGTAGTGCAGCAAGAGAAGATAATCAATGTATGTACAATTATTTAAGAGACACACACACACACAGCATGGACAGTGGATGAGTCATGTCTGCCAGCCCTTACTGTTACTGTGATAGCTCCAGACCAGCAATCTGCATTCATCACACAGACGTTCTCCCTCTTACTCCCCCCTCTCTCCTGCCCTCACACTTCTTTTGTCTCACACACACATGACATGCACAAACACATACACACTCTCAGACACACACGCAGGTAGGAGAGATGCTGTCAAACTGACAACTCTCTGTTGAGCCACACACACTCCATATGTTGCTGATTGGCCTCCTCTCAGGTGCTGAACTAAGTCAGGCGTTCTGCCCTGAAAAAATTTAAATTGCAGTTTCTGGAAATTGTATTATGAGACCCCTGGCCACGTTTTTATATCCATATGTCTACTGAGACAGCAGGGTGAAGGACCAACATACACCACATTCAGGGTTAAAGACTAAAAATAAAACCGGGCAACTTGAGTTAAAGGCAAACTAGACAACCCCGGCCAAACTAGGACGTCTCTTGCCGCAAGGCATGATCACAGCATCCTGGAGTGACGTAATATGAGAGAGGAGCGAGTGATGAATGATGAGCATTCAAGCACCTCTTAACAGATGTTTTCCACCACCCGCAGTTTCAATTCTAATCAGTGTTCCTACCACACTCTAGACCCTACATTTTGAACAGTTACCTTAAAATCAGGGGTGATATAGAAAAAGTAAATCAAAAAGCAAACCAAATCTCCTTGTGTTGACACCCGCTGACATTTGTGTGTTAAATCAGCAAATTCAGTTAGTGACGAGGCTAATTCCTTCCACTGAAACCTGACATAAAGTGACCCACATTATTCACTTTGTCCTTGAAAGGCAGTTTAATATAAGTAGCTTTTTGAATGCAATCTGTTAGCTTTTTGATTTTGGTTGGCAACTTAAAACAAGCTTTCTCAGTGAGTGTGGTGCCATCAACACCACAACAGGAGGAAATAAACACCTCGGGTTTCTCAAACAGTATAACTTCCATAGTGATGAGCTGTCCATGGTGCTGAAATTCAATGCTGAAAGCTTTCCAACAATATGTCACGTTTGGGTTCAATTCCCTGAGATATCCAATATGTTGCATTGTTATTTATTTTTGGCAGAGGGTCGGTGGTTATTTGGATTGGTGATAGATGAGCACTTTTCCTTCCCGACAACAATTAGCTGCCTCCCAACTAACCTTAGGCACAAATTAATCAGGTAATCATCTCTTGTCTTATCCAGCAATATACAGCCAATTAAGACTAAGCAACACTCCCTTGTCTCTTCGGTAGCACCCCGAGCTGTGCGCGCTGACAATGATTAGTGGCTTTAGTGGACGAGGACGAATGCTGTAATTTACTTTCAGCTCCCTCAGAGTAATCTGTCCCTGCCTCCCACTGTCACACACACAGGAACATTGTAGGCCAAACTGTAATCAGGTGTTTGTTTTAGACAGCCCCACTGACCAAACACAACACAGCTGATAAGGTGAGACCCACTTGCAGGAAACAGGTACATGATATTGTTAAACATACAAAACCTGATGATTGTACAGCTGTTTTCCACTTGTGCCCGTGCAAGCTCAACCATGACAACATTTCACTGGTGTTGTCAAAGCCTTTATTCACATCTTTTTAATTCCCCCTGATACAGCCCACAAATGGGCCACATCAATGAATCTTAATGACAGCATCAAAACACTGATCGTGAGTGCACTTGCATCTATCCTGCACCAAAAAACAAGATGTCGCCAAAAGTGTGCGTCTTGCTGTGCCAAGACAGGATTTGGCGACTATTACTGATGAGGAGAGGAGAGGAGAGAAGAGGAGAAGAGAGGAGAGGGGAGGATAGCCAAAACACCCTTCACCACCTATGTGTGCTCCCTCTCTCCCTCCCTCCGTGTGTGTGTTTGAGTGTGTGCATATAGGCAATAAGCTGCTCCGCCACTGCGCAACGATGGAGCTATCGCAACGATGGAGATGACGCAAACAGACCCAGCTCTCCAAAAAAGTGTTTCAAGACGAACATGGCGGCAACTTAACCGCGGTCCAAGATGACAATGGCCACCGGGACACAGGATTCCAGGCTTTCCGCCCAGGTACGGGACAGAGACAGCAGCCTGCGTGCATCGAAGGGGCTCGTCGCTCTTTCCTTTAAGTGAATCTGCGAAGCGAGCGGCGGCGGACGCGCAGCATCAGTAGCCCTACACACCGAGAGGCTCGCAACAGCTGGTCCTCCCTGCACCCCCGACGAAAGAGAAACAAACCCGGAGAGGGACGGTAGGGAGAGAGGGGGGCATGCGGTCAAAGAGGACGCCGTTTCCCCCCGGAGAGCCATGGAGAACCGGGATGCGGCAGCGCGAAGCTTAATCTGTGCGGGCGCGCTAATTGGATCGGAATAGCACCGATTGCTGCGGGCGCGATAGAAGAGCGCCCTGGACCGGCGGAGGCACGGCACCCCACCGCTACAGGAGGAGAACCAACCGGACTCCATCTCCCCCCCAAGTCAATGAGTATTGTGGCAGAGCAGCCCCCGCGGTGGAGTCGGCCAGGGCAGCACTTTTCTAAAATATGACCAGGGGTGCTTGGATGCGTCGGCAGCATGATGAAGGCTTAAAATACTGGTTTGCACCCCGAGAGAACGAGAAGCCGTTCACCGAGTCAGAGCGGGCCCAGAGATGGCGACTGTCGCTGGCCTCTCTGCTGTTCATCACCGTCCTGCTCTCTGATCACTTGTGGTTCTGCGCCGAGGCGAAACTGACGCGGACCCGAGACAAGCGGTGGGACGCGGGGCTCGCAATTACGGACACGATGGGCGAGCACCCGAACTCCCTCCACCGCCACCACGTCCCAACATCACCCGATCCCCGCCGTCTCGCCAGAGAGCAAGATGTTATTTTTCTAGGGAATTCTACCAAATCTCTGTGGCGAATGGACGCCTGTCACCCCGACAGCCTGTCCAAAGACTGCTTCACTTTCACGGACGCGGAGACCGTGTGCCTGGGCCTCTCCGGTGGAGGTGGCAAGGGGACGCAGCTGGCGTACGTGAATCTGAGCGATTTGTACCTTTCTTTTTGTAATTCCTACTCACTTTTGGATTTGTTTTACGGGTTTACGAGTCCGGTCGATTTGAATTGCACCCTGGATATGGCCATGGGGGTGGATCTGCTGGGATGCAGCGAGTGCGTCCGGGCTTATCAGCGTCTTGACCTGGAGGCGGAGGAGAACTACCGGGAGTTTGAGCTGCTGGTTCAGAAATACGAGACGGATGCGTACTCGGTCAGGACGTGCATGGAGGAATGCAAGGTAGGACCATAACGAGGCCAGGTCGCGCACGCGCACACGCGCCAGTTCATTTAAGGGGGTGGGTTCACGGTCGTCATGGAAACCGTTGGGCATACCTATCAGTATATTGGCATTTAGTTTGAGTTCAGACTCACCTGTGCCTCCACTACACCACTTGGCCTGTCAGCTGCACCTCATGAGAGCTCAGGTCACCACATAATCCTCCAGCTGTCCCTCCTTTCCCCCCGCTCTCTCCTTCTCTAAGTCTTTCCTAACATGGACTATACTTTGTGACCTGTGACTGTGGAGGTGTGCACCACAAGTCGAGAGAGTGTTGTTCATTTCAATGCTGTCATCAGCACACAAGCAATTTCTGCACCTAATCCAGGATTTGTATTGTCCCAGCAGTTCGCTTGTTGTTCCAATAACATGGCAGCCTCGGAGCTTAAGTCTCAGGCCCTGGGGTGCATTTGCTTGTCAATAGCATCATATACCTGGGTCCACATTCAGCTACACACACAGATACACTTGGTGTTGTGTTGGTTTAGGCTTCAAGGCCCTCTCGGCTGCATCAAGCAATGCTCCTCAGTGCTGCCTGTGGAAACAGTGGGTATACACTAGTTAAATTACACTTCAATCTGTTTCATTTGTTGTGTGCTGGGTTGCTGTGTGTCCCCCACCTGATTAGCTTAACCACAGGTTTTCATGAGCTCTATTTGGCTGACACACCGGAGAGATGTAAAATATGCAACCTGGAGGTCTTAGAATCGATGGCTGTGAAAGCATGAAACATTGTTATTGACAGGAGGGAGGGTGCCTCATACACGGGATGCAGAGATTTATGATAGGCTTGACTTGTGCTGTATCTGGTTGTAAAAGCACTACATGCATTATCATGCTGCATAAACTGTACCTCCATCTATAAACTGGCTTTATTTGTGCTTCAACTTAGCATCTTAGCAGCACTGTGTCATTTTTGTGTGTTAGATGCTCCGTACTTTGACCAATTTCCTCATTTTAAACGTTTTTAAAAAAATGTAATGACGGCTGTTTTCAAATGTGTCTAAACCCGGGAGATGCTGCATCATTGCCATGACAACGCCACAACACAGGTCAAGGGATTAACTTTCAAAAGTGCGAAACCTTCCCTTCAATCTGCCCGAATAATGATTCTGCAACCCAAATTCCTTTTCTACAAGATAGATGTTGTACGAAGGCAGATGGTCAGGATGCTGGGCAGAGTGCTGATAATCCATATGTGTGTGTGATGAGTTACTGGGAGGATGTACTGTGGATAAACCTTCCCATTGGAATGATGCTGGTTTTATGTGTGCTTATTGTGAGTCATACCTCAGTGTGTTTACATGCATATATATTTACAGTATATATGTATGTGAATTAATCTATTTCCCACAACATCTTGTAGCTGCTTCCTTCTTATGTGATCTAATCATTAGTTAACATTTGCACTCCTACTGCGAATGTAATAAGACTCAAGCACGACTAGAGCAGCCTTTTAGCCCCTTTAGTCCGATCTGAATTTCTAATCTGGTTCAGTGTTTGTGTGACCTTTGCGTGAGCACAGCACCCCAGGCATGCATCACAAACCACTGCTCCTTGAAGAACCACTCGGTTGGACTATAGAAAAAAAGACAGAAGACAGCTTGAAACTGTACTTATTCACTATTACCTCTTATGCCACTTGTTTCATTAATCTCAGGCCTCTGCTCAAAGCTTTTTTCAAACCGCAAACTGTAGCATCATATGGTGTCTGCGTCTGCTGTATGCTGTCACAGGTGTGAGGTGATAGAGGAACAGAAAGACAACAAGATGAAAAGAAAGGATGAAAGACAGTGAAATAAGAGAAGTAAGATTTAAAGGTGAACAGAAAAAAATGCTTTGAAGGTAAGAAGATGCCAGATCCAGGCAACAGTATAAATACAGTGAAACACATTGAAGGATAACTAAAGTTCTACAGTTCACCATGAGCAGATGTTGTCATAACAGAAACTTTCACCTGGTTGGTGCATGGAACTGGGATCTGCTTTGTTTCCTGTCAGATAATGATGTGACACAGAGGTTTATCACTAAGCTAAGAAAATATAAAACAATTACAAACCATGCAAGAACCATTCATATGTTTTCACATTTGGTTAGTTTAAGTGAAGCAGATGCTATGGGCAATGTAGCTAAATGCTAAATGAAGTGGCCATCACTTCTACTTTTGCTAGGCCCTGATAATAACTGAGGTATAAATAGAATAAATAGATAGAAATCAATTGGCAACCATGATGTGGACGGTCGTCTTACCTCAATGAGCCCTTCCTCATCCATGTTGTTATTGTGTCTAAACCTAACCACACCATACTATAGTATTATCACATCATAAAAGGGTTATTTGTTTTCTACAGGGACTTTTTGTTCTCCTGCTGCCGTTATGGGAGGGAGCTAATTTAGGAAACAGTCCTGTGGGTTGTATCAGGGGATATGGGCAAACAACACGTGGTTGATTAGGCTGGAGGACCTGTTGCTATTGTCACAAACCAATAGCACAGAGACATTTTGACTGTTATTAGTAACACCCATGGTTTTCTTACTACAAGTCAAAATGTTTGCTGTAAAAGACCTATTGAAGAAGACAGTTGAGGGCAGTAATTAGCCGGATGCTGCCGAGCATTTCCTGATAAACTCATTACAGGACCATAAAAACATCAAGGCACTAAAATAAAGACACAAAGCATGTTGATAGTAACCTAGCAAGGTTCCTAGTTTCCTGTTGTTTGAGATGGAAGAATAACAACATAGGATGAAATGTGCACATCATACACAGGATCAGCGAAAGATATAAAGGAGGAGTGATGTGACTTTTTTAATGTGAATTAAATCACTATTAATGGACTATGATTACAACAAGACTGCTTGATATACAATCTGCCTGCTCACATATTCTACCATTACTAGCAATAACTCCTCCATTTCAATTGACATTGCTGCAGAATTTCATATGTATAAATAACATCAACACCACTTTCCATTATGCTAAAAACTGTTTCTTCTCATCAGAGTTAAGGTTTCTACGTTTCTTTCCCCCTGTTAATGGGATTGTTTTTGTAGCTTTGCATTACTCTTGTTGTGGGTTAAGGACAGAGGGTATCAAACCTTGTTACACAAATAACATTTGATTTGATGATAATAGTTTTTAATGTGAAGGTGTTGGCAAAGATCTTGCAGATCTGTATTCATCCTTTTTCTCCCTATATTGTTCTCTTAATTTAGTTTTAAGACTCTTTTTTTTTCTTTACACCTGTATGCAGTGCACACACACACACACACGCACGCAAGCATGCACGCACATACGCACACACACACACACACACACACACACACACACACACACACACACACACACACACACAGCCCCATGTGCAGTGTTTCCTGCAGGTCCAGACCTGACTGTCCCTTCCGGTGTAATTTAATTTGCACTCCCATAATTCTCTGCTTCTCTGGTGGCTGTGTCTCCAGGGCTGTCTCAACATGTTGATCTCCTCTCTCCCTCCATCTGTCACTGTTTCTCGCTCGCTTTCACATCCTCTCCCTCTTTGTCTTTCTCCCATCAGTGTCAGAGCTCTGAGGAGCCAACGTCACACGTACACATGTGGCCAGTATCTGTCCCTGCATTGCCTCCACCCACTCCCTCATCATCCTTATGGACTTTCTTCCCATTGGCGGTCTGTTGTTCTCTCTCTCCCCCTTTCCCCTCACTGGAAATATATGGGTGTTGAGCTCTCTTTTGCGACTGGAGTGATGGATACTGATCTAGAGTAAGGTCCTTTCCTTCCCTTCAATTACAGGCCTGTCCACACAGATCACACTGTCTGCTCCTTCACCCAGCCTCTCTGGCCCTCTGCGTATTCAATCACCTCTCCTCTATCACTGTCTATTTCTACAAGACGATTCAATTGAGCTCCCATTTCATTTATCTGTTAAGGCTTATGTGTTAGCACTAAACACACAGAGCAGCTGAGGCATCAGGTTTTTTAGATATTTGACCCAAATTATTTGTCAAATCGACATTGTGACCTGATGGTACCGTGTGGAAAGTATAAGGATCATGGAAGTGATAAATCTTATTGTATGTTTGCGCCGAATGTTTGTTTTCCAATCCATTTAATAGTATAGATTTAAACTTCATTCTTGATCTTGGCCCAAAAACATATCTCACAACAAGGTGGAGCTTTTAGCTGTATTCCTTGCTCTTCTTCAGGAGGCATCATTTTATGTTTTCACCCCTGGTCATTGGTTTGTTTGTCAGCAGGATTATGCAAAAACTACTGAATAGATTTCTACAAAATATGATGGAGCGATGGGACATGGCATCGGGACAAAGGGGAATCAAAGATTATGTTTTGCATTTTCTTTTTGACATTTGCACAAATTTCCCAGGGTTAGCAGAGGTATGTGCGGAACCATTCTAGTTCGTTGATGAAGATCATGAACCAAATTCTTACACCAAATAATAATGAGCCCTGTGGCGGATTTTGAAGTATTCTGCTGTGGCCCAACAGCACTGGATGGACAATGAGGGGATCAGACATTAGACTGTACTGTAACTCTCAAGTGAGTGACCACATCAGTATTTCCTGTAATGTGGATGTCAGGTATATCTGTAGCAATGTTCAAATGAAAATGTAGTAGAGCCTCAGTTTAGGTCAACTTTATTTTAATACAAATGGATACAGTGCTTCAGTCCACATTTGTTGAACTGCTTTTAATGATCAAATGAGGCTCTGACACAGCTCATCATCTACATGTTCTTCTGCTATCAGCACATATGTCATGGCCCCTGCACCTCAAGTCGTGCACTTCTCTCTCCCTTTTCTCAAATTCAATTAGGACTCTGTTGTTTCTCTGTGCAGCTCAAACGGATCCAGGGAAACTCCCCTTCATATGAGCTGCCAGTGTTTGTTTCTCCCCAGGCAGGAGATAAGGGAATGCATCTGTTCGAGAAGAACACGGCAGCA